GGTTCCTCACAGCTGAAAGACTGTATATATTTTAGACATATTGGAGTTAAAATATTTTCTATTCCTTACCTGGCATGGAGGCAGCTATGTGGCTGCTATGTAGGCGAAATTCAGCAGATTGTGTGGAGGTTTAGGAATGGCAGGTTGGTCCCCTACCAGCTGCAACACCCAGGAGATCAGGCCCTGCATCTCCAGTGAATAACACAATAGAGACAACCCCATTAATGGAGGAGGCGTGGGTGAGCAAGCCCTGAAGTTGCAAGCATGGGAGAATTTTCTCCAATACTCATCTGTCTTGTGGGTGGGAGAGATATGGCCCCCATCAATGCCTGAGGCAGAAGAAAGAGCTGCCCCCCAAGATCATAAGAGTGGAAGGGCTGTCCCTGCCCCTCATCAGCTGCAGCACTTGGGAGAGTGGTCCCTATGCCAGCCTGGACAACACAGTAGAGCTGTATCTGAAGGTGTAGGTGTGGGAGAACCGACCCTGGGGACTTGAAAGCAGAAGAACTGGTCTGCTCCTTGCTCAGTGCTGCAAGGGGTGAATTCACCAGGGCAATGCAGGACAGCTCACCCTGGTGGTAAGGACAAGGGAAAGCTGGAGGGCTGACCAACCCTGAACTACCAAGGTCCAGAACCAGGAATGTGAGTTAGCCCACAACATCCACCCCATCTGTGATCTGCTGGAACATGTGAATGAATGGGTCCTGCAGACCCAAAGCTGCAGGATCTCCACAACACAGGGCAATAGCAGGATATCCAAGAGGACTCCCACTGAGGTTCCAGCACTGATAGTGTAGCAGAAACCAGAGGCCTCAAATCAGACCAAAGACTCATAGCAATGAACACTTGCAAGTAAAGATATATGGATAAAAGAGTTTACTGCACAACTCAGTGTGTCACACTACAGCTTCCACAACAAGACTGATGGCTGTAAAATAATCCTTCTGTATACTGTGAATATGTATTACTCTCTTTGACTAATAAAGAAGTTGATAAGCCTATAACAAGGAAGGATAAATTTAGGGAGGACGATCAAACTGAGGATGCTGGGATGAAGAAGGTAAGTCAGAGGAGTTGCCAGCCAGCCAGCCAGAGAATGAGTTGGACATACAAAATGGTATAGAGATAAAGCCATGAGCCTCGGGGCAACACATAGATTAATAGAAATGGGTTAAGTTTAAGAACTAGTTAGTAACAAACCTGAGCTATTGACTAGGCATTTATAAGTAATATTAAGCCTCTGTCTTGGTTATTTGGGAACTGGCAGGCAAGAAAGGAACTACCAACTACAATTGATTTTTTTCCTTCTCTCTTTTTCTCTTCACTTTTATTTTATGTTATTTTGGGAGTAGAATTTGCAAGGGCAGAGGGTGGGTACAGAGGGATGAGGAAATAAATGAAATGGAAATGCATGACGTGAAAGACACAAAGAATAATAAAAAGGGAGAAGAAAAGCAAATAGCACATTGAAGTACAGGGTATTGGGCAAATTTCCATACAACTTACTGAAAAGATGTTCATTTAGAAAGTTCATGGAAGTGGATTTGTGAGTTGAGATTCAGTGAATAAGAGATTATAAAGGTAGATTTAGTCATAAATATCATAAATGAAAGTCTATAAACTTAGCTTTATGTGGCCCAGGGGAACTCAGCAGAATGTAAGATATATCTGGACTCATTTGATATGACTGGTGTGAACTAGAGGACCATATTTTTATGTTCTTAAGAAATATTTGCAGGGTGTTATGGTCTCTAAATCTTCCTGTGATGATCAATTTCATTTTATGTGTAAACTTGGTTGAGCTACTAGGTGACCAGACTGAATCTTTCCAAATATGTCTGTAAGGAAGTTTCCAGGTAAAATTACTATATGAAATTTGTGTTACTGGACATAGTAAAGCTATCTATCATCAAACCACCCATTCATCTATCCACCCCCACTCACACAACACCTCTATCCATCCATCCACCCATCCATCCATCCACTTATCCATCATATATATTTTTCTAGAGAACCCCAAATTGACAGATTCTCTGAACAACCAATATCTTCATAGTTAAGGATAGAATTTGAGTCTGGGGATTGTTTATATCCCAAACAAACATACAAAAGAAAAGAATTCTCCTTCAAGTAAGTCATGGTATTTAAGGAAATATAATTGGGAAACAATAGCATTCTAATTTTAGAACCATAAAGAGAGACACATAGATGAAAGATGCATGTTAATATCTCCCCTAGAATCAACAAGCAGAAATTCAGGGCTGAAATGTACTCCTTCCAAGTTCATAGTTTAAAAAGATAAGAAAAAACCTGAAAGAGAAAAGCTGATATATTCTGTTACTAATGAGTCATGTCAACCAACTAAACTTGGATTCAGGCACAGATCAAAGGCTCAACAGGTATAGATTAGTCATCATAAGCTGTCCCAGACACTCGGCAAGGGTAAAGGGGGTAGACTGGAGATGAAGAGATGATGGAACTTGGGTTTGGATTTCAACAAGGATTCATTAGAAATGATGATAGTGATTGCTTGCATTTTGGTATGGCTAGCAATGATAAGAAATCAGAGAAAACAGAACATAGGGCCCCTAGGAAGACTTTTACTTGTATCATTGCAGTGATAAAAATTACTGATGGAAAATGAGAAACTTTTGTGTCCTAAAAAAGATACTCAGCTTAGGGTTTCATTTGTGAACAGCATGATTACAACATGTCTTAGAAAGAGTAGGGAATGAGATGAGTGGTTATTTTATCACAGAAAGAAACACTGAGTTTTAATGAGTTGTTCCATTTATGTTAGAAATGAGTTATTTTTCATTTATTTTAGAAGTTTATAAATCACAGGTGTTAGGTGAGTCTATAATAGAGGCATGTTTCTATGAATAATTGGTATCAATAAAAGTGTGCCCACTTTGGGAAATCGATGGATCATTGACTCTTGCTACAGGTAAGAGTGTCAGGAAAATCTAAGGGCAATCCTAAAGCGCAAAACAAGTTCTTGTACATGAAACTGTGCAGCACATTCTGTGTGGTCAAGTACTGTGATAATGCGACAGGACTCTGCTAACTTGTCTTGATACAAATCAATGTTGTGACACAACATAACAAACCAAAAGAGACAGACAGAGATGGAAGTGACAAGAAATGTCTGTGCTTCCAGATCTGCTCCAGATTGGTTTCACTGGAAGCTTTCATTGTCCATTACTTATTTACATAAAGTAACAGCAGCTTGCAATATTGTTTATTGGCTCACTACTCCATAGAGATGGCTCAGTGACACTTCACAAAGATGAGAACCTGTCAGGATTCTTAGCATGTAAACAAAAACATGCTAATGTTAGGGAGGCAGAGGGAAGGATCTGGGAACTTGCTGAACAATTAGTCTACTGAAACCACTGAGCCAGCTCCAGGATTAGTGAGAGACTCTGCCTTTAAAAATAAGGTGGAGAGTGAATAGTGTCAACTTTTGACCTCCACACATGCATATGCGGAAGTACTCATTCTCCACCATAGACATGCACATGTATACAACACACACACACACACACACACACACACACACACACACACACACACTTTTTTCCTCAAAGCCCCTTCTGCCTGTACTTCCTATTGAAGCAAAGAGAATAAGTGGGAATAGATTTGAAAGAATAGTTGGTTGGCTGTTCCTATGAATTGGATTTTATTCATTATGACTGAAAGCACTATCTGTATAAATTGTGGAAACTGAGGCCCGCCTATTGGAAGAACCAAGAATCTTGTTGCAATTTGGATTTATAGGCAGTGGTTATTTTGTCACATCAGAGCTGGCAGTAAGCAATACCTTTTATGAATAAAAATAAACAGGTCAGAGACTGGGGAGATTGCTGTGAAGCAGCAGTGATGAGCAGTGGCAGCTCTTCCATAAGACGTAGTTTCTATTCTCAGTACCCACATGGCAGCTCCCAACTTTCTGTAACTCCAGTCCCAGGAGATCCACCGCTCTCTTCTGTAAGCATGGATGTGGTGCTCAGACATACATGAAGGGAATACACTTATACACATAAGAAATAAAATTTCAGAAAAGGGAAACACTAGTTAAAACTTTTAAGAGGCGTACTGAAAATAAAACATAGTTCTTGATTGAATTATGATATGATAAGTTAGAACTTACAGCCACTAATTATGATTTTCCATTTTATGTAATTATGATTGTCTATATCTTCCCTAAGTTACATTGTTTAGTACAAATAATCTAGGAAATGGGGAAATGATGTTTCCTTTTATTAGGAGAAAATGTCACTGAAATAATTCTACAAAGATAAAATACTAATTTTGGAAAAAACCATTAAAGTCTATGTAAGAACATTTTGATCAGATCTGTTGGTGACACTGGTGTTTTTATCTGTTCTTTTGAGTTAGGCTATTTGACACCTAGATGAACTAATTATCCTCTCCTTTGTTATTGAAAATGAAAACCACTATTTCTCCCTTTCTTTTTTACAAAGACTCTCTTGGTTTGTAAACATCCCTGCTTTAATCTAAAGCTATCCCAAAACTTTTCTTCTCATTATCCAATGTAAGATAGATTTGTGGAAGAGAATTTCTCTATAATTCTAGTCTTGTTTATAACAGCAAATTCTTTTTTAAATTTCCTAGCCTGTGTTTCCAAAGTTTCACAATTCAATATTAGTGCATCAGGGTTAAACACTAATTTCTAAGGGACAGAACCAAATAGTCAACACACCAACAAAAGGTGAGAGCTATTAAATACTCCAAGAAACTAGCTATTTATCATTGGTGTTTTGGTAATTGTGATTTATTTGGGGGGAACTTGCTCTGCTTTGAGCTCATTCTGCTTTCAATACAGCTTGCTGCTTTAGTTTGTAATATAAAACGTGTCTGGACACTAAAGACTTCAGATCTTCCAGCCCCTAAATCCCCTTCCCATTCCTCCATTACTTTTTGTTTCCGTCTCAGGATACTTGAGGTAATAATTAAATGTGTATCATTTCTCTTAGAGGAACCTCGGGCCAGAACATTACATCAGTTATAAGGATTCCTAGATGACAGGTGAGTTTCTGATTTTCGTATTTCATCTTTTCCTTCTTCTTTTATTATTTTGTATCAGAATTATCACTTAATAAAAGATTGTGTCTCGGCAGTGGTGGCGTATGCTTTTAATCCCAGCACTTGGGAGGCAGAGGCAGGCAGATCTCTGTGAGTTTGAGATGAGCCTGGTCTACAAGAGCTAGTTCCAGGACAGCCTCCAAAGCCACAGAGAAACCCTGTCTCAATAAATAAATAAATAAATAAATAAATAAATAAATAAATAAGCAAATAAATAAATAGACTGCTATTTTATTCTCGCAATAAAATTGATCATTTTCTTAGTCTGAATAATTAAAAAATATAATTGCAGAGGTTTGTTGCTAAAAATTCCTTCATTGGAAAGCCATCAACATCATCTACCCTGCTTTTAAATGTCCTAACAACAAACTGAGGTCTTGTTCTACCTAATTTCCCTGGAAAAATCAATCAATGAGCTCGTTGGGTTTACTTCCAGAACAGTGAGTGAGGGGCTACAGATAGAAGCATGAGTGACCTTAGCGTGGCCAGACAGGAAAGTGTACACCAAGCATGGGTGATGACTCACTCCCCCATAGCTGTATAGATGGAACTGTCTCCCTTCATTTCTTCCCACTTACATCCCCCAACCCCTCCCACATGCATTAGGAAAGAATTGTCTTCTATATGTCAGAAGAGATGGTTGGATACTCAGGTGAGTGTCCTATGATCCTCTCAACTCTCTTCTTCTATGGCCAGCAGGTCCAGTTGTGGTGCTATTTTGAGAGCAGCTGAGCAGAACTGCTAAAGATGGACGCAGTTTGGCTCAGAGTATCATTCTGTACTAGATAGTCAGAGCACTTTCAAGAGCTGGATCTTCCTTCCATGAGTTGAAGTCAGGCTATCAAGTTTGATGTTCAGCATCTTTACCTACTGAGCCATCAAACTGGGACACGTCATTCTATTTTTGTATACAGTCTTCTGTCTGCATGCCAGCAGAGGGCACCAGATCTCATTCAAGGTGGTTGTGAGCCACCATGTGGTTGCCGGGAATTGAACTCAGGACCTCTGGTAGAACAGTCAGTGCTCTTAACCTCTGAGCCATTTCTCCAGGCCCCACATCATTCTATTTTTAACAGTCCCTTTCTCAGGGTACTTAACTCCTACATCTTTAAATTATTCACATCTCTCTTCCACTGCCATTTTCCCGAAGATGCCTTCTGGTATCATTTAAGGTTGTCTAATATTATCTCTCTCTATAGCGCTTTATTTTATGTCCATATCTGACATCTCTTTTTCCTGTTGTGTCATGTTTCCTCTCAGTAGTAAGGGAATCTCTGTTGTGGAGAGACATTGTCTGCTTTGTTAGTTGTCATGTTTCTGAAGCACTGTCTAGGTCTCCCTATTCAAAAGTCAATCAGCAGATGAGCATTACAGACAACTCAACAGATGTGTAGAGTTGTAGTTGAAATATGAGTTTTCTTTGCCACTTACTTTCTGTGTAACATTAGGAATATGATTTCATGCCATTGTCATTTTTTCCTTTGTAAATTTGAGTCAAGCATTATGATTTAAAATTTTTCTGCTTTTTAATGTAGAAATGTACAATAAACTTTGCTTTGAAAATTCTATTTAATTAGTATTATTGATAGTAAGAAGTGATATTAAGACATGTTCCTTGATGAGTAGAGTATTTTTAATCCTATCTTAGTTGACTTACTCATCATTTTTCTTTGCTCTGCAGATATAATTATCCTGGTTTAAATGTTCTTCTAGTGACTAAATCCTTCTGTTATAACTTTGAGTTGACATCATGCTATGGAGGATAAAGGTCACCTTTTGAAAGGATGACTGTCTCTGGCTGGCTGTGTGCTGTCAGGGCCTAATCAAATTTATTAGTAGGCTGCTGAAGAGAGAAGCCATGGAAGCTGTAGTCCAATCCCAGTCACTAGTGGTTATAGGCACCTTTCCATAATCTACTCCCATTTCTTCTTTCATTAGAATTCAAGGCTCAGATATAATGTCCTGAAACAAATAGTCACAATTAGTATATTTACGTTAGTTTTTAATCCAACTTTATCTGTGTATGCATATTTTTTATACTTTTTTATTATTTTTATTTAAAAATTTTAAATTTAAATTAGAAACAAGGTTGCTTCACATGTCAATTCCAGATCCCTCTCTGTTTCCCTCCCCTCCTCCCATGCCCTCACATCAACCCCTCCAATATCCCCTCATTTCCCCAGGGAGGATAAGGTACTCCATGTGGGTGTCCATAGCCTGTCATTTCATCCAGGGCAAAGCCTAGACCTTCCCCCAAAAGACCAGAGTGAGAGTGCATCTCTCATTTTTGGATGGGTGTCCAAAGTTCATTTGTATACCCGGGATGAATACTGATCTACTAGGACTATATAAAAAGATTCATTCATTCATTTAGTACGTGTATGTGAGTGATTATTTGTTAAGCACTTGAGGGCAGTAGCTTACAAAGTGTTGGGTCACCTGGAAATGGAGTTATAGGCAGTTATGAGCTACAAGATAGAGGTGCCGAGAACCAAGCCTGGGTTTTTCTGCAAGAGCAACAAGTGTTCTTAATTGCTAAACCTTCAAGTCACAAGAGATTTTAACAGCACATTTTAGAACAAGGTAAGGCATCTGGACTTTCTTTTCCACTGGCCCATATTGCTTATTTCCTTGGTGATTATTAATTGATTGTCATTCAATATCATATGTAAACATATTTTTCTTTGTTTTCTGTTTTCTGGTTCTTACAACTATATTGTAACTTCCAAGCCAAAGATTTAAGCGAGAGCTATACCAGATATCATTCCTTTTATGTGCTGTTTTCTCTGCTGAATCCTTAGCATCCTGTCTGTATGCCTGCCTCTGTGTCTGGCACACTGTGAAATAAAGTAAATATTTATGATTGAATAAAGGAATATGCCAGAAAATTTCATCCACTTAATCTAGCCATTCAAAGCAAAATCAATAACTATTTCAGATCTTTATTTTTCTATTGTTTAGCACATATATTTCTGCATGCTATAGCTTTTAGAATGAAATAATCCATAAATTGGTATTTAAATTACCTTGCATACAAGAAGAATATCTACTTTATGTGGAGAAGGGTATGTATTTTTAAAAATATAGTGCTTCAATGGGGGTGTAGTCTAATGTTTTTACACAAAGGCAGACTTAACTTTTAAATCTTTATTAACAAGACATTGTATTCTTCTTAATATAATAAACAAGTGGTTCATTGTACCTCTGTCCTTTATTGTGTCTTGCTTTTGAAGTACGGAAAAAAATTTGCTTTGGTTTTTCCATGAGTTAGAGTTTCCATCAATTTGATTTTTAAGGCTAATTTGAGCTTTGAGAATCTAACTACCCCTTCCTCTCCTCATGTGTTCTAAATTTAACTCAAGAGGAAGTACATGTTAAGCAGAACTTCTTGATTTCCAGCAAATCAGATTAACAGTTGTTTTAACTTTTCAAGCTGGATGAGAAAAGTCTGTGAGAACCTCCCGACCAAGGACAAGGACCTAGTAAGCAGCAAAAAGAGCGTTAAAGGTCAAATTTACAGAATTTAATAAAATCTGAATGATCTTTTCAATCTACATGAAAAGGCCACTGATACAAAACTGGATATTGATACCAAGGAGAAAAAAATGAATACACAGCCTCAGAAGGGTGAATTCTAAGTTAGTTAAACTGAAACCACCTGCTGGCCTCAATTATTTGACTTAAAAAAATAAACTCAAAGCTTTAGAAATCTCAGATAACAGAAAGCCAGTATGGGAGGTGAATGAGCTAAAAGCAATAACTTCTCCTTTTGAAATGTATTCATTCATTCATTTACAGAATCCATTTATTCATTTACTCACTCACTGGACTGATCATCTTTTTCAGTACCTGGAAATAATTATAGCAGGATGACAAATGTCCTAATAAAAGTGTAGACAGTGACAGGAAGGATCTGGTTCATTTTGCCTGCAGACTTTAGAGATGGCTTTTGCCAGAGTGACAATTGAGTCACACTATAAAGAATAAAGAGGATTTTTCAGCAGGATAATGTGGAAAGAACATACTGATTAAAAGGTAATGGTCTCTGTTCTTTCAGGGCAACTGGCATGAAAAAGAACAAGTCAAAACCCTCAGGTTTTGTTAGCTCTTGAAAAAGCTATGTCATTATCCTGCACTGTCAATTCAAAAATTTTTTAATAACAACAGTATAACTGCTTTTCATGCCTAGTGCAACTGAATCTCCAATGGCCACAGTTAGATGACTAAGACCAGAGTATGAAGGAGACATATTTTCAAGGGGTGTCGTTTGTTTGAATCACTATGGTGAAGAAATGTGTTCACTGACTGGCCAATTAAATAGCCAGAATGTTTGAAAGCACTTCCAGAATGGCTGTTCATGTTGGTTGTTCCTCTGATGGGGAAAATGCTACCAATTTCCCGTCACTGGAATAAGAACGTCTAGATTAATATCTTTCACTTTGTTCTACCTCCTGGGTATTTTGGCCATGACTTCACGAGAACTCCATGGTTGCTTGGTAGGAATATTTGTACAGTTAAGACAGCTTATATAATCTTTTGACACAGATATTTGTCTGTGCCTTCATTCCCCATGACCTCTTGACTCCCTTCTTGGCCGCATTCTTTTCTCACCACCTTCTTCCTATTGCCTCAGAGAGTTCAAACTCTGTTTCATGATCTGTGGTCATTGTGTTTAGGTCTTATTAACTCAACATTATACCATAAAATTAAAAAATTTTGAATCCAGCATTATTGTTTAATACTTTATATAAGTACACAATTATACATTGCATCATATTCTAAGAAAATACAGTTATTTAAGTTTTAGGTTATTAAAATAATTTTATTATGTGACAGTATGTAGTAATGCTTTCTATTTTAATAATATTTTAATTTTCTGATAAGATCAAATTTGATTTAATGTTTCTGAATTATTCTTAACAATAACAAAACTTACTGAAATAGAATGTTAATTTACACACACCTTACTCATACATGTTAACACATAATTTTTAGTAAAAATAATACTGCAAACTCTCTTTTTTCCTATTGATAATTGTCATCTAATATTAAACATTTTTACTGTTCTGAACACATAAATTTGAAATAATGTAGCTCACATACTATGTATTTAATAGGGATTAAAATATAGCCAGAAAAACTGCTAAAGGCCATCTTTATAAAAGTACTGTCAACCACATTTTAAATGCATCTTGTTTAAGCTATCCCATTTTGTGGTCTATATTTTAAATGATAACATGAAGATCTGATTAATTTAAAATATAATATTAAATTAATTTGTCATTGTTTAGTTAGAAAGAATGTACCCTTTCAGTATAACCTGTTCTCATGAGTATGTATTTCCATAGAGTAATCAGGGTTTTGTATATATTATGGAATAGGCAGGAAGCACTTCATAAAATCTTACTGTAATAATTTGCATATGTTGGTATATTTAATAATCAGACTAATCCTACAATGAAAGTACCCTTGTTTTTCTCTGAAGAATATGTTCACTAAGCTTATGTAACTTCTCTTTATGTTGTGAAAAATAGTTAATAGGCTTATTTATTTTTATTTTATGTGTTTGCTTGAATGCATATATATGCATCATATGCATCACATGCATCTAGGTTCCTGCAGAAGTCAAAACTGGGTGTAGGATTCTCTCAAACTGGAATTGCAGATGGGTATGAACTGCCATCTGGGTCCTGGAAACTAAACCAGGGTAGTCTGTAAGAGTTAGTGCTCTTAACCACTGAGTTATTTCTCCAAACCTGCCTCAATTACAGAGTCAGGTTGGAATATTACTTGACTAAATTATGATGTGTTTGAGGACATTCTAGTGAGTAGCAAATAATTATTTATAGATTTGTAAGCACTAGGGAAATGCAGCCTTTTGTTGTAACAAGTGTTCCAACTTTATTTCTTTGTTGTCATTTAGCTTCACTTGTCGATTTGACATACATGGGAAAAAGGACACTCAGCTGAAGAGTTGCTTCCATTAGGTTTGTCTCCGTACATGACTAGGTGGGTATTTTCTTAATTGTTAATTCATGTAGGAGAGTCTAGGCCACTGCGGGCAATGCCGTCAGTCCTGATTTCTAAAAAGAAGTTAGTTGAGCAAGTCAGAGGAAGCAAAGCTATAAGCAGAGTTCTACCATGATATGTGGTTTGGTTTTTGCCTTAGCTTCTCTCAGTAACAGATGATAAGCTTTAAGTATTATAAACTGTTTGCTTCATTGAGTTGCTGTAGTTATATCTTTTTTTGCTTGTACAAATAAAGCCAATCTGAAGGGCAGAGAGTAGAGCATGCCACTAGCTAACCATAGAGGTCTGGAGGTCTGTACAGACAGATAGGAAGTGCAATACCTGAGTGAAAACAGGATACAAGCAGGGAGAAACAGGAACTTGCTCTCTTGCCTATGCAGAGACACTAAGGAGGTAAGATGTGGTGGTAGCTTGCTCCTTCTTTCTCTGATCTCTCATCGTTTCCCTCTATATCTGTCTCTGGGTTTTGATTATCTAGACCAATTAAGAACTCTGTTTACAAATTGCTTTTGGTCATAGTGTTTGTCACAGCAACAGAAAGCAAACAAAGTAGAAATAATGATGATACTTTCACTAGGTGGTATACTCTTTATATTTTCAATGCTATAGCTTGAGGTTAAATGTTTATAAACTTCAAAGAAAGTCTTGTGAAGTAAGAGTTGCAACCAAGCATCCTGTTTGCATCTTCCTTCTTCTGCCTTTAAAATGTAGTTTTCATTGTAATTGCCATTGTTGAAATGGGAATCATTGAACACTTGTGTCCATGTTAATATAGAATCATTTTCAAAACTTAATAGAACCTAGGGGTTGAATTATTACATCAGATATTTAAAAACTCCAACTCAACAAAAATTAATATTTTGGCATTTTGCCTTGCCAGAAGCAATCAATTTGATCTTTTTTTAATGTCAAGGTTTCTTATTATCATGTAATTGATATATTTAGAAACTTTGGAAGGTTTATCATTTATAATTTTATCATAAGAGATCATGGTTAGAGCTGAAACAAAGAATCTTATGCATATATTTATTTAGCCCAGTTTTAGTTTGACTCCTTTGGTAGGCAATGTGACACAGAAGAGAATAAAATAAGTTAATGCCTTTAAGTGATTGCAGATAGGCCTTCCACATGTTTCTAAGATGGTACAGGGCAAGTATGATAATATACATGTGGTATTAAAATAAAGAGAGGCTCCTCTAAGCCATCCTTTCCAAGTGAGACAATTCAGAAAAGAGTGTGTGACCTAGCCTTACACTGGTTATACAGAGGGATTTCCAATCAAAGGTTTGGCATGTGCAAGAGATCTGAGATTGGTACTGTGATACTAATTTGAATGACGGAAATATTCACTAAGCTTGGTAACAGGGACTTAAAAGAAGTAGCTGAGTGATGCAAGATTAAAGATACACCCTGAACTGTCTTGGGTACTTACACACACTGTTTGAACTCGATCTATGGGGTGTCAATGAAGGATTTATAACACTAAAGAAAAATTTATAACAGTAAAGAAAAATCACTTATTCTGTAAAGATCTAGATGAATTTGGATGAGACCTTCTGGGAAAGTACAGAAGAACTTATATAAAAGATTAAATTGTTTTGATTTGGTGACCTTTTGGTTGAGAGTAGAGAGTGAAAAGGGTACGTGCTTGAGTGGTTATGAGATTTAAGAGTGGTAATTAGGAGGAATTGTGGGGTCAGTAGCTAGGATGGGTCAGAGGAGGGAAGCATATGTGCTCTGGGAAGTGCAAATATTACTGTCTAAAATTCAGGATAGTGAAATAAAATAAAATTAGGAATAGTAGTTTGCAATCTAAACATCTTAGATCAACCTTCAGCTACACAATGATTAGATGCTTCCCAGCATATATCATTGGGTTCCAAGTGGGAATCCCCATGGGTCAGGTCATGATTCAGATTTTGCTACTATCAGTTACATTTTGTCCTGAGGAGAGTAATTGCATAATTACTAGTAATTATGGCATCTTTTCCAGTGCTGTGAAATGATATCTATGGTCTTGGCAGAGATTTGCATCATTGGCTAAGCTGTTTGGGGTTTTGTCTTAACTAATATTGTGAACAGCATCAGACAAGTTTCATTGTAACATGAAAACGTGGGGTGACTGTAAGCAAGAACAGGGTTCTGAGCTCACATTAGAATAGATAAATGAGGTTTCTAGAATTTGGGAAACTCCACATTTAGAATTTTTTTCTAAACATCTCTCTTATTGTTTTCTTGTGGGTTAAATGAGTTGATAAACACACAGGAGAGTGTTTGGCCATTGTAAAGATGGTGTAAGTATTGTAAACTTGGATTGGATGAGCAAATTCTCTTGTGTAAAAGCACAAGTATCTCACTGATAGTTAGAATTGAATTATTAATTTTTAGTTTCTTCTTCAAAGGTAGAACAGAATGAAGTATAAATTCACAAGCATGTTTTTCAGCTTTTATGGAGTTTGTTCTTTGGCAGTTTCATACTTGTATAATGTGCATTCTGATAATTATAAGTCCCTTAATCTCTCTGTACCCTTATTACCTTCCCTGATTCTGACAATTCCCTTCTGATACTCATGACTTTTTTTGTTGGTCTTGCATTCTGTCGTTTGCTTTGCTTTGTTTTTGTGACCCACTGAGTTTAACCAGGAGCTATTCACTGAAGCTTGGAAGAGTCCTCAGTGGATACACAACTGAAAGCAATGGCTGCTAGGACCCCAATAAATCTGTCTCTAATATGTGCTTGACTCTTCAGAAGGCTGGTTTTGGGTAGGTTCCCTGCATGCAGCCATGGCTGCTGTGAAGCCATTATTCCATGCTCAGAAACTAACACTTTCCAGTCCTTTTCTGTGTTCTCTACCTAGATATTTTCCCCCTTATTCTACAGTGTTCCCTGAACCTTCAAGAGGGTGGTGAAACTTCTTTAAGGTTTAGTGCTCGACCACATAGACTAACATTTTAAACATTTCTTGTGACTTTTCACACTCTTATTGTTGTCTTCATTTTATTTCTCTATTCAGGTAGGATCCAAGGTATTTTCCAGAAGTTATCTAGAAAGATGGTGTGTTTAAAATTTATAGGAAGAACTGAAAAATTTAACTGCTGCTGAGGAACATGGGTAAGAATGAATTGTCTGGTGGATACGTAGAACTGATGGAGTCATTAATATATGACCTTAGAAATTGTTGCCTAATATTGTTTCCTGGTTTCAAGGTCACTTGGGGACATTGTCTAGCTGTGAGGGATAGCTGAAATAAAATGACAGTCAAGTTGGCTGACTTGATTTATCTGTATCTGAAATATGGTGTGGTAGAAAACAGTCAAGAGAGTAAATGGTTTATAAGGAAATGTCAAGGAAGGTTTTTAACTGAGGAACCAAGGCAAATGAAAACCAAACAGAAGAAAGTGAGGTGTCTGAAAAGAGGAGACATCTAGAAAGCCCTGACAAGACCAATATCCAGCGGTGTCTACGAGGCTGGGAATCAGGATGGTGTGGGGATAAAGAGTATATGGTGGGACACCATGACATTGAAACTTATGCAATAAGATGTGACATATTATAGAACATCTCTTATTTCTTATGAACTGATCCATAAAGTTTCTGGGAGTCAACGAATGGCTTAACTAGGTAATAAAGTCTAATAAAGAAAATCTAAATGGAGGGCCAACTAAGTAAAAGAAACATGTTGGAAACATGTGGAAGAAAGTACTAATAGTTTATTCATGAACAAACATTCATGACAGAATCATTAAAAGAGCTGATAGAGAGTACCCAACCAAATGGCTGATGGGTCAATGGTGTGGGTTTGTACAAGAATTGGGGCTGGATGTTGATGGTACATGCCTTTAATCCTAGCACTCTGGAAGCAGAGGCAGGTGGATGTCTCTGAGTTCAAGGTCAGTGTGGTCTACAGAACGAGTTCCAGGACAGGTTCCAAAATCATAGAGAAACCCTGCCTCGATAATACAAACAAACAAAAAAGAATTCAGGAGGAAGAAAACAACATTGGTGTATTAATCAGGATTCTCTAGAGTGACAGAACTTATAGAATGAATCTCTCTCTCAAGCATGTATGCATGTATGGTCACTAAGAACAGAAATTCCAAGTATCCAGTAGTTGCTCAGTCCATGAAGTTGGATATCTCAGCTGGTCTTCAGTATACATTAAATTCCCTAAGAAGTAGGTTATAATGCCAGTCAAGGAATAGAGTTGCTAGCAAGATGACAGAAAACAGGTAACAAGAAAAAGCTTTCTTCTTCCATATCCTTATTTAGGTTTCCAACAGGAGGAGTGGTTCAGGTTAAAGGTGCACCTTCAAAGCTCACGATCTAATAGAATGGTATCTTCCTACTTCAAATTAAGAAAAAATCCCTCACAGGTGTGCCCTCTATGTTTGGATTTTAATTAATTCCAGATGTAGCCATCACTGTTGGGATGTGCATTTTTGATAGAAGCTAAAGACTGTAGGGTTGAGAGAGCAAGTGACACTCAGAGTCTAAAATTTGTAGTAGAACTCCTGTGTCATTTCTATTCCTATAGAACACTGTCCCAAAGACCAGGGAATGTTGTTATTCTATATGTCATCTGCTCAGCAATCTGCAGCCTTTGTTCATTATTATGTATTATTATATAATATTATTATATTAAATGATGATTTTTGACTTTGCAATGATGAAAGTTATGTAGAACATAAAATAAAATAATTGCAGTCTAACTATAATGATATCACAATCTTTGTATCAGTAATTGAATCCAATGAACTTCTGTAATTCACTGGTATTTATATTCTCATTCTTCTGATTACAAATCTAGACTATTTTCTAGTCCTATACCTACAAATGATCAGGTGACCAGGTGACTGGATTCCACCCAATGATATTGGTAAATCTATGTGTATCATTATAGGGCTTGCTCACAAAATCTCAAATTTCCATTCTAGTCCTGTAAGGTTGAAGAGAGAGCTCAATGGGTAAGAGCACGTGCAGAATAAGCAAAGGACCCAAGGTCAAGCCTCCTGTGAAAAGGGTCAGGCATGTCCTACACATGAGTCCATGACTCCAGTACTATCAGGGAACACAGAGCTACTGGGACTTACCAGCAGGCCGCTTAGCTCTAGTTTCAGTGAGATATCGGGATCCAAAGGAATAAGGTAAAGAATTGCATAACATGACACCTGATGACATCTGCCTTTAGCTTCTACACTGGGATACATGGATATCCACACCCACAAGTGCACACATGTATACATGTAAAAGAAAAATAGGGAGACCTCGGAGAACCTAGCAGAGTTAAAGATGGGAGGAATTTAGAGCAGAGTTTTCTTATACACACACACACACACACACACACACACACACACACACACACACACTAAAGCTTTCTAAAGGAGAGTCTAATTTGTTAATGAAACTCCATTAAAGACTGAACACAAAGTTACAATGTTATGCAAGGAATCTCAGTCATGAACTCAGAGTCAGCTGACTGCATGAGGTGTGGATAAAAGTATTTCCATAGTACCTCATGCATTCTTGCCCTGGCTCCCCCAAATAGAAAATGCCCATACCTTTTCTTCTTCTTTCACATCATTACTTCTCTCTCAAAACCACAAGATATTGTAGTTTTGTTCTCTGTCTGTCTGTCTGTCTGTCTGTCTGTCTCTCCTCTCCATTCCTCTTCTCTTTTCTTCTTTCCTCTTCTCTTTGGGGGTCCACCAAACAGCTCCCAAATAAATACATGGAGACTAATTTTTATGAATGTCTGACCTTAGATTGACTTGTTTCTAGCCAGCTTTTCTTAACTAAATTACCCTGTCTACCTTTTGACTCTAGGCTTTTATCTCTATCCTATATTTGTTTCTTTCCTTTTTACTTTTAGGTTGACTGTGTTGCTGGGTGGCTAGCTCCAGGCGTCCTCCTCTCCTTCTCTTTCTGGATTCTCCCTCTTCTTATAATTATTTTCTCTGCCTATCTCTCCATAGCCTGGCGACATAGCCCCACCCCATAGCCTTTTCTTGCCTAGCTACTTACTGTTCAGCTCTCATTTATTATAGGCAGGGAAAGTAACACAACTTCACAGAGTTAAACTAAGACAACATAAAAGAATACAACACATCTTTGCAACATTAAACAAATACAGTATAAACAAATGTGATACATCTTAAACTAATATTCCACAACAAGATATTACCTCAGATTTGTTTCTTCTTCTCAAATGACAGTTGAGAAAAAAGAGAAGATAGCCACGTGGTAGGTGACACTGGCTCCTTGCATGGTTAACTTGGGGGGAGGCGGAGAAAGTATGTAATTCTAGTATATTGTCTTTTAATGACTAAATTTTGAATTCACAGATTGACAAGATTCTTTCAAACTGTGTGAGCAACCTTATAACCTTTAAATATTGACTGAACAATAGTGCTTGCTTATTCACAATCCTTCTGTAGTCTGCATTTATACTTTATACATTGTTTTATAATCTTCACTTTTGTTCATCAGACCTTAGATAGTATGAGCCCTGATTACTCCTGAATTTCTATATGTTTCAGGTCCCTATAATTTTACTACTGTAGCCATTGGCCTTATTTCAGTTCTCTACTGACTGAACTTGTGCCACTTTAAAGGTCCCTAAAGGCCTTCACTTCAGCTTAAGGTACTGTTCCTTGTCTAGATCACCTCCTCTTGTGGCATCAGCTCAAGTAATAACTCCAGTCCTGCTCTGACAGACTCTCACTTTTCAATACAAATTAAGTTTTCTCTGTTATTCTACCTTTAAGAATTTTGTTTTTGCCCTTTATTATTTTCCCCATAATGCACTTTTCCAAATATTCTGACTGTATATCACCAGTGTTTTTGCCTAAATATCAACTAAGAGTATCCTGAGACCTCTACTGAAATGCAGACCCTCCTTCCTCCCCACTTTGGCATTCCTAACTCATGGCCTTATGCTCTCGTTTTCCCGATGCACTAATAAAGTGTAATCATGCTACATCTATTTCACTAAATTTTTATTTTTGTTTATTTCCAATTTCACCTCGTAATTTATGCTGTACGTGAGCACAGATATTTTTCTTGATTTATTCCCTGTTGTAGCTCAGTCTGCTTATCTTGATGGCGGGTAACATGTAGGCATTTAGTAAACATCTATTAAGTAAAGAAGAAATAGCTTGAGTGTACATATTTGGGGAATTAATGAACAAGACACCTAGGTAATGACTAACAGATTCTCTGGCACCCACTGTAGATAAATGGCCAGAAGAAGTTTCATGTTAGCACAATTTGATATAGTAAATATAACCTGAAGAATGTGAAGATGACAAGTTTAAGGAGCAACAATTTCAATCCTTTTTAATTAAAAATTAATTTTTATTTTATTTTAAATTATATATGCATTCATACATGTCTATGTGTGGACATGACACAATTACAGATGCCCTGGAGTTATATGCATTTGTGAGTTGCCTGAGTGGGTGCTGGGAACCCCCACATGAGTCTTTTGTAAGAACAGCCTGTGTCTTTCTACATTGAGCCACCTGCCCAGGCCAGAAAGTACCTAAAATGTAAGGAAACAACCTCATTTCCATCTTGAGGACCTTAATAACATGGGCCCAGGGAGAGTAGGGAATGGCATTTGAGGCATGGCTGGAGAACAAATCATCAATCCTGTATGGGACTTGTAGTTCTTAGCAGTGTTTATGCAGCTTTCAGGAGAACAAAGATAAATACTTTATAAGCAGGAGAAAATATGTGCTGTAATTTACATTTGTGAAAGATTAGTCTTGTTGCAATGTACGGAGCCATAACAAGGGAAAGAAACAAAAAGATGGGTAAAACATTTGTTGAGAAGTCAGAATAAGCTTTTTTGAGGGGCGGGGAGTTACTAGCTGGTTACTAACAAAAATAGTTTTGAAACATTCTTCAGATAAGAAACAATGCTTGGTGATGGACTAGGTGAGATTAAGAATAAAGAGCCAAAAGTTCCTTTTACTTTCCAATATACTAATGGATAGTCTGCCTCTTACTTATAGGCACACTATGGCAGTTTAGGGAATGGTGACCATTTTAGGAAGTATTTAAGATAGGGATAGGAAGTTGGCTATTAACTTGTGTATCATTTAAAGTCACAGGAATGCTGTGAACACCCAAGAAACAAGCATAGTGACCAGTGAAGGAAGCTAATTGTAATCTTTTCAGTCTGGGATGAAGAGAAATCACTGTCAAGGGAGAATGAGACCAACTGGCAACCAGGAAGTCAGAGAAAAGCCAAAGAAACTAAAGGGTTCTGAGAAGGGAGTGTTCTCCCAAGCTTCTCGGAATTTTAATATGAAGACAGACAAATGTTCATTGATTTTGGCAAGAAGCAACTCACCAGGGACACTACCAAAAGCAGTTTCAGTGGAGACAAACTATGGGGGTGAAATCAGATGTGCAGGAAGTGAAGACTGAAGGGAAGGGAAGAAATATGGTGTGGTGGTTCCAAGGAGACTGCTCCTTTCCGATATGCTCACAGTTTTGAACACTTGATTTCCAGGTGGTGGTGCTGTTTGAGGAGGTTATAGGATCTTGAGGACATAGAGCCTTGCTTGAAGAGGACAGGCTTAAATGGTTTATAGCTTTCTCCTACTTCTTGTTTTTCTTTTCTGTTTCCTGTAAGGATGAAATGTGACCAGCAGTTTCCTGGTGCTGCCAACATACTTTTCCTCACTGTTAGGCTTTCCCCCTTATGACAGACTCTATCCCTCTAAAGCTGTGAACTAAAATATACCCTTTCTTCCACAAGCTGCTTCTATCAGAGTATTTTATCAAAATTTAACCAAGACATGTTTATGAAAGAAACAGAGAAATGTGGCAGGATCTGTAAGTGTACAGTTTCAAGCCATTTATTTGTTCATTATTTGAATAGTGAAAGAAGTAGAATATATTGGCATATATTCTGAAACACTAGGTAGAAAGATAATGATAGATGGTAACATAATCAAGAAAGGCACGTCATTGATATGGTATGAGTAGAAAAACTGTGTCTTGAAAACATTCTTTGTCTATTGACATGGGGCAGCATAGAAGAAAGAAACGAATGCAGATTTCACTCTCAGGGTGTCGTTTCTAATCTCTAGTGTACTCATTCACATGTCTGGTGATATTTTGATTATTCCCATGGAAAGACGAAGGGAGGTAGGTTACATCTTCTTCATCTACCAGAACTCTATTTCTGGTATCATCTCATCACGGTGGCAAAAGGCAAAACTGTAGTCTAAATAATCAAACATTTCACTTATAACAAATTTGGCAAGTTCTTATTGGCTAAACAAGTCTCATGGTCAAAGTTTAATTCAGAACGTAGAGCAAACAGGATGCATGGCAATGGCTCTGTATACACAGACAGGGGAGGAACGGGAGTCATTATTTCAATGTATCTGTTACAGTGCTGGTTTGAGAAGATGAGAGGCCCTGTCCAGAGGCTGGTTTGAGAAGATGAGAGGCACAGTAACAGCTCTTGGCTGGTACATCATCATCTACCACCTAAGGTCTATAAAACCTCCCTGCCTTAAGCTTCTTTGGGATCAGTGAACTCACCTGAGAGCCACTACCAACAAACCTACAGTTATTTGTTCTTATTGTGGTCTGATCTTGCTTTTTTACATTGGCAGAAATGAATCAAAATTGTAGGTAAAACTGTAATTCCATTATGGCAACAAGAAAGTGAATTGAAGAATATGTTACAGAATGAAATGTACCAGAGAGTAAGAAAAGGCACAGTGGGTGTACAGAAAGTGTTAGTGGGAGAGGATCATGATGGTAAGGTGGCTCACTTCAGATGAAGTCTTCACTGGTAGCCTCACTAAGCAGGTCTGATTCATGAGGGGAAGACACTAGAAACAAAAGGCTATTAGACTCTATGGAGGCAGGTAAGAAAGTTGAAGGAGTTTATTCCTGGTATTTGTTGCTTTGTCAAAATTTTGTTCTAAGACGAAGAGTGTGGCAAAAGGTTTGACTTGTGGGTTTGAATTGCTGTCAATAAAATCAATTAAAACATCTGTTCCCAGCCTGAGCTAAAGATCTAGAAATGTGCTTTTAATTTGCATATTATTTTTGGTCATGCTGTACTCAGCCACTGTCTGTGGCAGTCATTGGGTGGAAAATATTACTCAAATCCTATCAAAGATTTCCTATTAAGTTTATGAATTTTGTGAACTGATACCCAACTTAAAATTTTTTTAGTATTTATGGAAAAATCACATAACTTGAACACCAGATGGTAAATCATTGAATAACCCAGAAGTCTATGTAGCTTCATAACTGTATAACCCAGACAAAAAATATTTCACTTACCAAATAGAGACCCAAGTTATGTTCTTAAATTAACTTAAAGGGCTAAACTGTTTTGCTTCATTTTCCTTTACTTGGGGAAAATGAATATGTCCACAAGATACCAAAATGAGGCAAAAAATAAATTAAAGAATGTCTTGCAGTTTAGGTACTATATTAGAAAGTTGATTGTGGTGAATTTGAAAATTTGAGCTGACTATTAAGGATGTTGCCTGCCCTTCCTCCAAGCAGGGTTTCTCTGTGCAGCCCTGGCTGTTCTGGAATTTGCTCTGTAGACCAGGCTGGCCTCGAATTCAGATATTTTCCAGCCTCTGCCTCCTGAGTGCTGGGGATAAAAGTATGTGCCACCACTGCCAGCTGACAGTTTTTAACATAATGTGAGAGAATATCCAACTGATATTCTTGATGAAATGAAACATGAGCAACTTTCTCCAATCTATTCGGACTGAGGAGTAAATGTAAACCCAACCAGACCCTACTTTTGCCTGGAAGCAGAGTCAGATTTTCATAATTTTGTAAACATGCTGCAATTTTTCACAGAAATGAACTGAGGGGAAAAGAAACATCTGGAAAGTTCACAGCACATATCTAGAAAGCAGGGACCCGAGAGACTTTCTGATGAAGTGATGTCTGTGGCCCTGGTGAGGAGTCCACATACATTTCCTCATAGGTCTACCTCAGAATAAAAAAGGAGGGAAGGGAAAAACAGACAAATTAATTAGAAAGAGGAGGAGAGTGCTTTGTGGTTAACTATTCCTGAAAGACCCCATCAGGTTAACCCAAGTGAATTCAATTTTACAGTCATAGGATTCTGAAGACTGTCTTACATCAAGGTTCAGAAATCCCTAACAGCCCTAACTGGAGCATACTGTAGGGATGTTTAGGTTTTTTGTCTTATAAATTATAAATAACGTAGAGTCTCAGGGAATGAACTGAGCTAGGCAATAGGAGTGGCACAGGGAAAGCACAGACACTTCATTTTAAGAAACTTTATCCTCTCAAATAATCTGTCTTGTTTTTTCTTCTGTCATAGTACATTCAAGATTAAAGGACTTTTTATTTTTAGTTTATTTTTATTTTGAATTAAAAACACGAGGCTGTGATTGCACCAGGTTATCCAAAGGTTTGACTTATGAGGACCGAGTGTCAGATTATTTGAAAGAAGGTGATTATAGCTAGATAAAAAAACCCTTGCTTGTAAGCAGGTGTATATCTCATTTTATAAGGTATCAGTTGTTGCTTTTTAAAGCAAAGGACAAAGATAGATTTGTAACTTGGCTAAGTTAAATGTTAGCTTTTGTTACTGTTATTCCTACGTCTCCCTTTCTACATTCTAAGACACCCTGTCCATGCCCTGAGGTGGAGGCCTTTAAAATGTCATTCTGATCACATTACTCCTTAGATATTAATTTTGTCCTATGATTTCTGTGAATTTACTTCAAAACTTAGCATGGCACTTGATGTTGTCTATAACTTTGCCAGTTTCTTTCAAAGTTTGCCTTTCAATGTTTCACTGGACATATGTTCTATTCTATAGTGGTTTATATGAGGCTATTCACTGACATAGTATTTCTGAGTCATGTGTACAATGAACACAAGTTACTATGGGTAAAGTATGTGGGGATTGTGGTAAGGAGAAAGGTGTCTAAAATACTTGGAAGCTCAGCTAAATTTTTCTCATGGGAAAATTTTTGTTAGCCGTAAATGATGACAGAATATTTTTAAACATAAAGTCAGGCATTTGGGCATATATATGAAATTTAACACGTATTTGATAATTCCAATTAGGACAAAGCAAAGTTTATCTGTATGTTGGATATGCCCCATGGATCATCAATTTTAAACCTCTTCTCCCAGTCCTGATTGTAATCTATGCTCCTCTAGCTGAACATCATCGTCCACAGTCTTCCTTTGGCAAATATTACTGTTATCATCCTACTCAGTCAGAAAAGTTCTTGTCCTTCAGCATAGAATGTAAGGGTCAGGCTCCAATTTCTCTTGCTTATCTTCAGAATGGCCCTATGAGCACTGAATCTATATGCAGAAATATCATCAGTGCTTGCTGCCTGCATGCTTGTTGATGCTTATGAAATATTTGTCTTTCTGTTCTTGAATGTGTCTTGATTTATCTTTTGAAGGTCATGACTTCATAGTAGAGATTGAATTCTTACATATATTTTGTTTTTCTGAGAATTTTATACATGGATATTTTATTTGCATCATTTCCATCCAACATTCTTCTCACTACAGCTCCTCCCGTGTCCTCCCATTCTCTGTAAGCCTTATGACCTATTTTGCACTAATTGTTAGATATTTATGAATATGTACACATGTATACACAAATACTACCTGCTGAGTCTCTTTCGTGTTATTCATATGTATTTATGTTGACCACTATGGATTGGATGTACTTATCGGCAGTTGATACATCTCTCCCTTTAAGGATCAGGGAACATAGTGAAGTTGTAAGCGCTAGAGGACCATGACATCTGCAACCATAAAGTGTCTTTTTATATGTGACAGGGAGCTGCATCTAGGAAATCTTAGCAATATGGTCACCTAAACAAGACATGTACACTGACAACTCCAGTTAACACGTTAACATGGATGTAGATGAGGAAAAAGCTCTCAAAACTCCAGCCCTGGAAGACAATTAATGGCTGCTCACTGAGGGTGAATCAATCTTTTACAGCAACAAGCTCCCTAATAGGTTTGGACTATATTTTAAAAGTTGAATTGCAATGGCTGTCATGTCATCTTAACTCTTACTCAAAATTAAGTAAATGAAATATATATATATGTTTATATATATATGTGTGTGCGTGTGTGTGTATTTTGTTAAAATTCTTTTTAAATATATGTAAAAATGCTTTCCTTTGCTCATTGGATTATAATTACATTATTTGTAGAGATAAAAACATTGTTTATTAATGAAGTCAGTTTTATTCTGTTTTAATTCTGAAAGAATGTACCTTACTATAAAATTTGCATGTAGTTGATTTGCTGTAGTATATTTCTAAAACTTTTTCCCTTCAGGAATTTTTATGTAATGCACAGTTTGTAAGGTAAGGGGTGTTTTGGTGTAATTGCCTTGGTGTTGATGAGGAAAATATTGTTTTGAAATACACTGGAGGAGAGAAGCTTGTTTATTCATCTCTACTTTTGACTGATTAGGCATGTGCGAAAAGATCTTAGGTTTATATTACAAAGATGCTAAGTTCTCAGGTTGCCTAGAAGAAATGAAATTACCAAGAGTTCTCTAAGCAAGTATTTGGAAGGTTTTACACTTAATCCTAGTTTGTAATTGTGAACAGATAAAAAATAATCAAAGGAACTCTAGCATCAAAATATTAGTTCAGCAAAAACTGTATTGAAGACAGGTAGAACTATACAAGTAAATATATTATTGAAAAAATTAAGCCTCTTTTTATTCTAATCAATAACATAACAGATTAATATAAATCACATTATACAAAAAAGACAGGTTTTTGACATCTGTTGGAAATGTTCATGCAGAGAGGAAGGAGCTGATCAATCCTATAATATTTCCCTTCTAATGCTGGAGGTATCATGCATACAGCATATAGTCTGTGTGGCATAACAAGCTCTTTTTTGAACAAGATTTGCAGGGGCTGTTTCCAGGGACTAATAGCACTTGTTAAAATAAAGAAGGCAATTCTGAGTATATGAAAGCATACATTGTCCTTATGACTGGTGGGTCTATGTACCAAACCTGTAGATGTGAGCCACTACAAAGGACTACAACATTTTGAAGATAATGAATGGTAACCACTTTTGTCCAAAGCATCACTATGCTCAATTACATTTGAGGCTGGCAAGCCTGACATTTTTTCTGTTATGGAAAAGTGCAATCACTTTTCATGCTTCAATGATGAAAAGTTTGAAACAAAGGAAAATTAATCTTAACAAATCCCTACTATATCCTACTCATTGCTGGATTGAGGAACCAAATGAAAATTCATCATAACACTGTCTCCTTTTACATTCAAGCAGACAGAGGCAAATTCACAAAAAAAAAAGAAAAGAAAAAAGAAATTTGTGGTAATGATTTTTTATTAATCCACAAAGATAAAACCAGGCAAAGTAATCTGTGTTTCCACTGGAAAACCAGAGAAACCAACAGAAGCGAGGCCTTCCTGGATACACAAGGATGTGTGTGAACCATGCATGCACAGAAAGATACTGGGGGCAGACTTCTGAAGTACAAAACCTACAGACTTGGTGTTGAAGTTGGTCTGCTTCTAGGAAGGGCTAACAATTTGGTATGGTTATGTGAGGTGGGTGGATCATAGTACAGTGAATGTTTTATGCCCACTGAGGATTGCTATGTGTTATCCTGGAGGGAGATATTCTGTTTGTCATTTTATATCTTCCAAAAGACAGGAGATTTAGCACTAAAGATTATGCCGACCTAAGCATGCTATTTAAATATGAATATTTATAAGTATTAGGTATAGGTGTGAGTTTAATTCTTGCATTTTGGTTTTGTGGAAAGAAGCCTGCTATGTGAATACCTAGGGGTCTGGAGATGCTAAATACTGGTCCCAAAATCAGTATCCAATGAGCATAAGCACATTTTCACATCTATGGAGTCTGTTTCCAGGGTGCCATTCTGCAGTTGCCCTTCTCCAGACAAGTTGTCTCCTCCAATAATTTGTAGTCTATATGGCAGACAGGATCACTGAATTATAAGATATCAAT